TCCTTCTTGGTCACTGCCCTAGATAGAGAACCACTTGCATAAATGCTTAAGGGGACACACACCCAAGGTTGTTCACTGCAGACTGTTCACAATGATGAAACATTGGAACAACTAAAATGCCCTCACAGGGCAATGGATACTGGAAGTTTCCATAGTATGAAATACTACACAGCAATTTAGCATAATGATGCAGATCTACATGGACAGGGGACGAAAGCGATCTAATCTATATAATGTGAGGTGAACAAAATAAAATGCAGAAGGCTGCACACAGTATAATAGCATTTTTAAAAATACACACAAAAAACAAACTCTAATTAAAATCTCTACATATACATGACATAATAGAGAAAGATCTAGAATAATCATCTTCAGGAGGGGCTGGGATTAAAGAGAGGGAGACAAAGAGAGGTTTATTTCTACCCTTTTTTTTGTATCCCTCACAAAACACATTGTTGTAATATTTGCATAATTTAAAATAAGTTAGTAGCATTTTGAATAAATGGGTGATTCTCCTACGAGCATTCCTAGCTTCACGTCAGAGGTGGCTGAGGAAGGGGTTCAGAAATGAGGCAGAACAGGGAAGAAGCCAGCACTGATGCTTTGTAGCAGGTTTCATTTTCATCCTGGCTTGCAGGAGGATGTAGGATGTGACCACAGTGGAACCAAAATAGCTCAATCCCAAGACAAGCAGGCAGACGACAGATTGTTCCCACGGCCAAAGACAAAACCACTCATAGGAGCACAGTCCCTTACCCCTTGGCTGAGAAAAAAATCACTGAGTCACTCATTTCCTAGGGCAGTGATGGCGAACCTATGACACGCATGTCAGAGGTGACACGCGAACTCATTTTTTTGGTTGATTTTTCTTTGTTAAATGGCATTTAAATATATAACATAAATATCAAAAATATAAGTCTTTGTTTTACTATGGTTGCAAATATCAAAACATTTCTATATGTGACACGGCACCAGAGTTAAGTTAGGGTTTTTCAAAATGCTGACATGCCGAGCTCAAAAGGTTCGCCATCACTGTCCTAGTGAAACGAGTGTTGCCTGGGGTGTTGACTAGAGAACCCAAGATTTTAAAAGAGAAAATGAACTTCGGGAAATGCTTGTCTTTCTATTTGGGGTGTCCCTCTGTCCCCTAAACTGACCTCTGTCATTAAAAAAAAAATGAGCTAAGGCTTACTGAGCATATAGAACATGTCAGACACTGTTCTAAGTGATCTGCATAAAGTTCTCATTTAATTCTCAGAAAAAAGACATATGGATGTAGGAAAGGTGTTATTATTATTATTCCCATTTTACCAACAAGGAAACCAAGACCCAAAGAGATTCAATAATTTTCCCAAAGTCACACAGCAGGTCAGAGGCAGGTTTGGAGCCCAGGCGGGGTAACACCAGAGTGTGTGCAGGAACCGCTCTACCTTCCTGCCTCCCATATTGTACTATCACAAGCATTGGTTTATTTACCCCACACATGTCTGTTTTCCTCTGCTTGAGTGTAAGTCCTGTTAAGGTAACAGCTATGATTTGAATGCTTTACTAAAGTGCTAGGCACTAATCTAAGTCCTTTAAATGCATGAAGTTACACAGCTCCACAACACACCTGGGAATAAACCGAGCCCAGAGACCCTCACCAAAAAGTTGTAGAACTGGAGTCAAACCTAGGCAATCCTTTCTAGCACCCTCAAGGATGTGAATCATATCTTATTTGTAAGGTATTCTCTGCCCCTGTACTCTAGAAAATACCTAGAGAAGGCTTGATGGATGAAAGTACAAGTGCATAAAAGAATTCTTACTTCTAGTCTAGAAGGCAGCGTAGGAAAATGCAGTACTTGCCTCCTCCCAAAACCACATCAAAATTACAACTAAACTACAGAACAACCATCATTTGGAACCACCTGAAGTCTGGTTGGAAAATGGAAGTCCTACAACTAGGAAATTAAAGAAGAAGCCACATTGAGACTGGCCAGAGGGGTGGAGATGTGGAACAAGCTGGCGGATAAAAATCAGGAGGGCTATCTCAGCTGTGGAGATCCCCCCTGAGGAGCAAGGGGTCCCAGCGCCACACCACTCCCACCTTCCCCACCTCAGGTTCCAGTGCTGGGAAGAGAAGTCCCCATAACTTTTGGCTGTAAAAACCAGCAAGGATGGAGGCTAGGGGAGACGGAGGGCTGTTGGAGCCCCAAGACGTTCCTTTGAAGGGCCCACCCATGGACTTACTCAGATTCACTCACTCTGAGCCTCAGTACTGCGGCAGGAGCTTGGAAGGCACCAAAGACATATGGGAAAGAACCAAATTGTTCAGCATCAGGATGAGAGCTGGGGGTGGGAGGCAACTTTCTTTCAGACAGAAGTGCAGAAGTGCTGGCAGAAACCATTGTTCTTTTGATGAGCCCTCCCCTCACAGACCTTGCAGATGGGTATCATATCTGCGACTCCATCAACCTGGCTCACACTGTTTGCCTGACCCTAGTGATTCCCTGAGATCCCACCCTACCCAACTTGAAATCCCATACCACTCAAGCTGTTTCCATGGCTTATCTTGGCTCATGCTTCAGATTTTCCTAAAATCTCTCAAACAGCAGCATTTGGTCTCAGTGAGCCCCAGACCCAGCACTAGCAGCAGCCAGCCTTGGTTCACAGCTTGGCCTCACCTGGGTACCTCTAAGTCAGCACAAATGCCAGCCATTTGTAGATTGCTTTGTAGTCCCAGGCAGAACAGAGGCAGCAGTTGACCTTGGCCTGAACCTCCCAGGAAGCTCCAGAGATAGCATACCCAGTAGACGGCTTCAGACCATGAAGCACCACCACCCAACCTCCTCTACAAGTGTCACACTCAAGGAGCAGAGTCAATGGACACCAGAGTCCTGCTGAAGTAAGGCCTGCTGTGTGGGGTGGGTCCTGGCACAGCTGATCCTCCACAGCAGTTGGTGGTCGCAGCCAATCCCTACAACTAATAGGCTGGGGGGTGGAGGGGGGCGCGGTAAATTCTTCCAACTGACATGTCAACAGCAATCAAGGCTCAACTACAAGAGGGGGGTTTACACAGCCCACATGAGGGTGAAGGCATACCTTGAGTGCTCAGCTTGGGTGATGGGAGGCTGTGTCACTAGAACCTACAGAACACCTAGATATTAGGCCAATCTACCAAGCCTGGGAGATGTAGCAGCTCTACTTAATACATAAAAACAAACAGGAAGGCTGCAAAAATGAGGAGACAAAGAAATGTGTCCAAAATGATAGAACAGAAGAAAACTCCAGAAAAAGAACTAAACAAAATGGAGATAATCTACTACATGCAGAATTCAAAACACTGGTCATAAGGATGCTCAATGAACTTAGGGGAAGAGTAGATGAACTTAGTGAGAACTTCAACAAAGAGATAGGAAACATAAAAAAGAACAGGTCAGAAATGAAGGATACATAAACAGAAATGAAGAATACATTACAAGGAATTAATAGTACAGTAGATGAAGCCAAGGATCAAATCAGAGATTTGGAAGATAAGGAAACAAAAAACAATCAGAACAGCAAAAAGAATCTACTAGAGAGAGAGAGAGAGAGAGAGAGAGAGAGAGAGAGAATAATGTAAGGAGCCTCTGAGACAATTTTAAACATACCAACATTCGCATCAGGGAGGTGCCAGAAGGAGGAGAGAGAGCAAGAAATTGAAAAAATAATGACAGAAAACTTTCCTAACTTGGTGAAGAAATAGACATACAAGTCCAGGAAGCACAGATGAACCCAAAAGAACACCAAGACATATCATAATTAAAATGCAAAGAGTTAAAGACAAAGAGAGAATTTTAAAAATAGCAAGAGAAAAATTAGTTAGTTGCCTACAAGGAAGTTTCCATAAGATTGTCAGCTGATTTCTCAACAGCAGGTTTGCAGGCCAGAAGAGATTGGCAAGAAATATTCAAAATGATGAAAAGCAAGGCCCTACAACCAAAATTACTCTACCCAACAAAGCTATCATTTAGAATCAGAGGACAGATAAGAGTTCCCCAGATAAGAAAAAGCTAAGAGTTCATCACCACCAAACCAGTATTGTATGAAATGTTAAAGGGCTGTCTTGGAGGAGGAGGAGGAAGAGGAGGAGGAGGAGGAGGAGGAGAAAAAGAAGGAGAAGGAGAAGGAGAAGGAGAAGGAGGAGAAGGAGAAGAAGAAGAAGAAGAAGAAGAAGAAGAAGAAGAAGAAGACACAATTATAAATAATAAAATGGCAATAAATACATATCTATCAACAATTGAATCTAAAACACAAAATAAATGAACAAGCAGAACAGACTCATAGATACTGAGAACATTTTGACAGTTGCCAAATGGGAGGGGGGTTGGGGTGATAGTTGAAAAAGGTAAAGGGATTAAGAAGTACAAATTAGTTGTTACAGAATAGTTATGGGGATGTAAAGTACAGCATAGGAAATATAGTCAATAATACTCTAATAACTATGTATCATGTCAGATGGGTACAAGATTTATCAGGATGATCACTTAGTAAGCTAGTAATGTCTAACTAATCACTGGGTGTATACCTAAAACTACTATAATAATTTATATCTACTGTAATTGAAAATTTTTTAATGATTTAAAAAAAGAGAAAGAGTTTACCTCCACCATAAAAAAAAAACAACCAGTCAAGTGAGTCCACCCCTTGGGAGTTTCAACAAAGAAGACTGGTGTGCTTGGAATCAGAGTGAGACCGCTGAGCACCCCCTAATCTAAACTAGAAAGGCTAATTTCTAAAGATGTGCTGCCTCAAAGAACTCACGAATGAATGAAAATCAATCTGTTAATCAATACATCTCCTTCACTCTTTCCTTTCCTCCCTCTACCCCCCTTTCCTCTTCCGCTCTCTTTTATCCCTTGTCCACTGGAATGAATGAGCATAAATGCAGCCTTTCCATCTGTTCACTGATGCTCTATTCACTGTTTCCTTCCCCTCAATCTAAGAGGTAAGGAAAGAAACATGAGCAAGGGTCCACATACCTTTGGGTGTTAATAAAGAACTGTCTTCAGAAGTTACCTCAGGGAGAAGGGAGGTTTCTGATTCTGGAATAGAAAAAAGTTTTATGAAAGGCAGCAAAAAAATAAATAAGTGTGCTGAGTGTGAGATCTGGGGCTCTTTTTTATGGTAGTCTTTGTGCTTTTCTACATCAAATTTTCTTCAAGGATTGCAAGAATCTAGGAGAAAAAAATTACAAATGTATTTTAAGATGATTCTTTTAAAGGTAAGTGGAATAAAAATACCTACAAAAATTCATTGGTTTAGAGTTCGTGGACTTTAGGTGACTATTCAGAGTATAATAAAATTAGCCAATTGAATATTGTTAAGCTATTTAGATGATCCAGACCTTATTTTGGCGGCTAAAATGCCTAAGAAAGCCTTCAAGCTATCTCATGATTGTTTTTTAATAATTGTATTTTCAGAATCAGAGGAGGAAATGTGGTGGGAACTTTGATAAGGCCCTACTAGTAACCCAATGAAAGGTCCAAGATGCAGGGTCAAGAAGGATTCAAGAGAAACAAACAAAAAAAAGACAAAAGATAACCAGTTCACTATCAAAAATTATTTTGAAGTCTTTCTTAAACCAATCTCTAATGCCCAGGCAGAGACTTAACCCCTGGCAAATGGAACTGGAGCCTGACCTGAGGTTACATTCCTGGTTCTTCAATAAACATCTCCAAGATTCCTGGAGGTCAACTGAAGAACCAAAAAAAGTTGACTTTTCACAAACAAAGGAAAAAAGAGGGGATGGGGGAGGAAACCATAAAACAAAGAAAAGGAATAGTTTAGTGAATACACACACACACACACACACACATACACACACACACACACACACACACACACTGTTATGGGCTGAATTGTGTTCCACCCCCCCAAATTTATATGTGGAAGCCCTACCCCCATAGTTCACAATATGACTATATTTGGAGATAGAGCCTTTAAATAGGTGATTAAAGTAAAATGAGGTCATTAGGATGGGCCATAATCCAATATGACTAGTATCCTTATAAAAAGAGGAGATTGGGCCCGGCCAGTGTGGGTCAGTGGTTGAGCATTGACCCAAGAACCAGGAAGTCATGGTTTGATTCCCAGTCGGGTCACATGCCCAGGTTGTGGGCTCCATCCCCAGTGTGGGGCGTGCAGGAGGCAGCCAACCAATGATTCTCTCTCATCATTGATGTTTCTATCTCTTTCCCTCTCCCTTCCTTTCTCTGAAATAAATAAAAAAACACACACATATTTTTAAAAAGAAGGTATTAGGACATAGACACACACAAAGGAAAGACCATGGGATGACATAGTGAGAAGATGACCATCAATAAGCCAAGGAGAGAGGCCTCAGAAAAAATCAACCCTGCTGACACCTTGATCTCAGACGTCTAGCCTCCAGAATATAAAAAAATAAACTTCTATTGTTTAAGCCATCAGTCTGAGGTATTTGTTATGATAGTCCTGGAAAACTAACACATACCACCACTCCCTACACACATACACACACACACACACACACACACACACACACACACACACACACACACTGCTCATTCAGTAGAGGAACCCCATTCCAAGGGACTCATATACATCTGATTAGCAGAAGGGAAAGAATGGTCAATTGTGCCAGGTACCTGCAGTGAGGGTGGACCCTTCGGTGGAAGGCACAGTGGTCAGAAGAATGGTGGTTGCCTCAGGAAGGGAGCTTGGTGTTGTCCATGGGCACGTGGTTGTCATTGTTGTGAGGGCAGTGGTGGTTCTTGTCTGAAGTGGTGTTCTCGTTGTGAGGTCAGGTGTAGTCATGACTGTTGTTGGAAGCACAGTTGTGGTTGTTGGCATAGCAGTGGTGGTGGTGGTGGTGGTGGTGGTGGGGCGCCGGGTGGTAGGGCGCCGGGTGGTTGGGCGCCGGGTGGTTGTTGGGGCTGTAACCAACAGAAGATATCTTTGATACCAAGTGGAGATGGAGGAAAAAGGAAACAATACAAATATATCTGGGACCCTTCCATTTCCCTCTGTTTCTACTGCCTTCACCTAGTCCACTGTCTTGGACCATTGTAATTGTCCATAAAAATTGGGTTTCTTGCCACTAGTCTCGGCCTTTCCAATTTGTTTTTCACACATTGGTTCGAGTAATCTTTTAAAATGATAAATCTAATTATGTCAGTCCCCTGCTTAAAACTTTTTACTGGGTCCTCCTTGCCTGTAAGCTAAAAAGCCTAGCTCACAATCTTGGCCGCAAGGCTCCATCGGATCTGGCCCTGTCTTTCCTTCCAATCTCATGTCTCTACTTCACTCTCCATTTTTCCCCAGCCCATTGGCCTTTCTTCGGTTCTTTGAACATATTAGTAACCTTCTGGCTGGAAGAACTTTATACCTGCTGCTTCCTAGTCTCTCTCTTTATGAGGCTGACTCCTTAGCCTTCTTTCTCAGCTAGATTGACACTTCTGCAGAGAGGTCATCTGTGTTATGTAACAACAATTTTTTTGCACTCTCATACTTTACCTTCATAGCATTTATTACATTTCATAATTGTATATTATTTGATGATTATTATTTAATGTCTTCTTCTCCAACTAGCTGGTAAGCTCCATGAGGGAAAATCTGGTTCTCTGGTACAAATCTAATACCTATTATGGTGTCAAGCACATAGTAGGTGTTCCACAAATATCCATGAGTAAATGAATGACTGATTAAAAGTGAGCTAAATATAAAATTTCAGTCAAGCAAAATGAATAAACTCTGGAGATCTGCACAACATTGTGCCTATAGTTAACTCACATTAGGTGTTCTTTTCACAATAAAATAAAATTAAAATCTAAAAACACTGAGTCCAAAGTATGGTGAGGTGCAGTCTCTTTTGGATATTAAAGATTGGTTTGTGCCAGCACCACTCACCCGCTAAACGTTTGAATTTGGGTTCATTAGCCACAATTATTCTCCAGATACCACCTTACCAAATATGCCAAATTTCCATGAACTCTAATGGACTGAAAGACATCATTAGTTTCAAGAGAACATAGAAATGACCCCACAGAGTTTGGAAGTCAAACAAGTATTTTATAAAATAATAGCTGGTTATACCAACATTGAAAAGAGTAGACTCGGATTGGCATCATTTAATTCAATAGATCAGAATAGTTATTTTGAGAGAAAAAATATGCTAATGTATACGAAAATTCTCCAATTAGAAGCATCCACATCAGTTGTTCTCAAATTTTAAAGTGTATTAGAATAAACTAACAAACAAAATAGAAACAGACTCATAGATACAGAGAACAAGCTGACAGCTGTCAGGGGGTTGGAGGACTGAGTGAAAAAGGTGACAGGGTTAAGCAAACAAACAAAACAAAAAAACTGAGAGACAGACACCAGTATGGGGATTACCGGAGGGAAAGGGGGTGGGGGAGGTGGAAGAGAGTGCAGAAGGGATAAATGGTGATGGAAGGAGACTTGACTTGGGATAGTGGACACACAATACAATATACAGATGATGCATTATACAATTGTATACTTGAATCCTATATAATTTATTAACCAATGTCACCCTAATAAATTAAATAAATATTAAAAAGCAATAAAATAAAGTACATTAGAGTCACCGAAGGAGCTTGTTAAGCATATTAATATCCAGACCCTGCCTTCGAAGATGCCCTTCCAGTTAGGAATGGAGCCCCAGATTCCTCCATCATTGATGAAAGCTGAACACAGGGCTTACTTTACAAGGCTCCATTCCAAACAAGCAGAAAAGGTCGTTATTGTTAGCATCATTTAGCCATAGGCTGCCCTCCATGCAGCTCAAATCTTTTGTTTGTTTGTTTGTTTGTTTGTTTTTATTAATCCTCACTGGAGGATATTTTTTCCATTGATTTTTAGAGAGTGGAAGGGAGGGGCAAGGAGGAGAGAGAGAGAAACCTCAATGTGAGAGAACCACATCAATTGTTTGCCTCCCTTGCAGCTCAAAGCTTTAGGAGTTCCACCTTATTCCAAATTTCACCAAAAGCAAGATAGTAACAGAAGGAAAAACATGCCTGAAAATGGCCCTGAGAGTCCCCGCATCACATGCCCTTTTTTGCTGCCAGAAGCTGCAACCTACTGGCTGATGGGCTGAAGCTGACCACAGACACACTTTATTTAGCTCACACAGTATGTATTTTTCTAAATGTTGAAATCTTTGCCAACATGCAAAAATCAGTATATCTCACATAAAAACTGAGAGATCTGTAAACAGTGGGCAACAATCCCAAAGGTAAAAAGCAGCTGTCTTCTTCAGATTGACCCTGAAGTTTCCTTCCCAACCCACCACCCTCCAATCATTTCTGTGGCCTTCTTGGCCACCCAACCCCAACCCTGGGCATTTGCCGCACATCGTGGCTCCTCTTAGTCAGAGGAACACTTCTGAGATGTAATCCGTCCACTCGTGGCTTAAGGAGCTAAGGCTTCTCTCCCTGCCCCCACTGAACCCATCACCCATTAGCCACCAAATCTCTCCTTCCACAGGCACCAGCCCCTTCCTGTGCTCACCTCTCGTTAGCCTCAGGACAATGTTCTTCTTGACATCATTGAACCAGCCAGGCACCTCTATGCGGCAGCAGTACACAGCGCTGTCACCTTCGTTGGTGTTGAAGATGGTCAAGGAGACGTCGCCTCTCCAGACACTCCCCAGAAGCTGGTATTTTGCCGACTTCCGGGAGAGCACCCTTGTCCCATCAGTGTGGAGAAGTTCATCGTTGCATTTGGATTTGGGACACGAGCCTTTGCCCCAGCACATGCTGTGGCTGCCCTGAGACCACGATGCATACATGCAGGGCAAAGTCACCGACTGGCCCACGTATCCTGTCACGATAGTCTGCGCTGCAGCTGGTGCTGTGAGGAGGGATGAGAAAACCAGGTCGTGTGGTACTGACATATCTCAGACATGATCATGGTTGTGCAAACAGATGCTTCCAGGAAGATGCACAGGGTGGTAGTGTATGTGTTTCTTTAGTCTAAATTCTGATGTGTGCTTCACCAGAGCTGAGCTCCTAACTCCACATCCTTCCATCCCCCAAGTGGAGACAGCTGACCCACCTGAGTGTCTAAACTAATTTCCACAGCAAGACCTTTTGCTGATGTTTCTCTCTCTCTCTCCTCCCCCCTCCCTTCCACTCTGACCTTGAGTACTGTAAGATAAACCAATAGACTCTCCACTGAAAAATCCTGACCCTTTAACTCAATTCCCCGAACTCAGACAAACAGGTCTAAACATAGCACTTTGCCCACTGTATCCCAATGAACAGTGATTATGTTCTATTGACTTGAATATCTCAAATGGGTCTCCCTCTGTCCTCCAACACTGAGAGGGCTATGGCAGGAAGATGGGCTGCCAGACTATATACCATTGCTCTCTCCTTTCAGCACAGGAAATGAAAAGGAATTGCTCTGGACCATTTATTTGTTGTTAGACAATATGAAGTTAGGTGGAGTTTGAGGGTTTTTTAAATGTTAGAACTGAGTGAAGCAGACCACAGGAATTAGAATGGGAGCTGTGGCGTACAAAAATGCCAGGGGGTAATATGGGAGGTATCACTACTGTGTGGTGTATAAGTAGGTTTACAGTTGTGAGTATGTGAAACACAGAATTTATTCTTGTATTATTATTTATTAATTATTGTATTATTTTCCATGTGAACAATTGTAAACCTACTTGTACCCCACTCTAGTTCTAAGATGAAGTGTCCACTTTTCCCAACTTTGGCTGCTCATCAGCATGACCCGGGGAGATTGTTAAAAACAGATATTTTATTGACCAACCCTGAGTCAGAATCTCTGAGGCCAAAGCCCCTGGAAATGGACATCATCAAACTCTCCTGATGTCATTGGCCACTCCCCCAGTGTGTGAGGACCACAGGACAAGCTCTTTGAAGATCACATCCATTTCTGAGAATCTGGGAAACATTCTCACTGCTGCCAGCCCACTGATTTAATTGAGCATCAGTACTTGTTCTAAACAACAGAAAACCTACTGAAGTGAGAGCGAGGCAGGCTGAAGCTCCAGACCATCAGACTACATCCCAGGCACCAGGTTCCTGCTTCCTGTTTTCCTCCAGGAACCCCCTTGGCCCATGAGACCCCATTCACTAGCTGTGTTGACCCATTTGGCTAAGTTGTATAAGACATGGCCCACGGGCCCTGACCTGGTGTCAGGAACGTCTAGATATCCATCTCTAGGGGGAGGTGAGCATCAACCCTAAAAGGCGCCCAGAGAGGAAGCCAAAGGGCGTGCTGCCTGGGCTTTCCACAGTGGACTCCCATGATGAAGGTCATTCCAAATACAGAGCAGCCAGAGCCTTCCCTGCACTCACAGCCTCTTCGCTTTGCTGCAGTGAAAATGTTTCACAGACCATAAATGCTGTAGAAGTTCACTCTGCCCACCATCAACCCAGGAAAAAAGATAAGCAATTCATTGTCATCACCCTGTGTCATAACACATAGCAACACAGAACACGTGCGCCTAAAACAAATAACTTCTGAAACATAGGCTTGTTCCTATTTATATTGGGAGAATTAATTTTAAAATAGATGCAAGAATTATCTCTACTGGCGAGTCATCAGTTTACTTTCCCAAGTATTACAGCGTCACAGGAAGCATCCTACTTCTTAAGACCCAACAGAAAAACTAAAAAAGGACATAACAGGCAATTCATAGATGAGGCGATATGAGCGGCTAGTAAAGTTCACCTATTTGGCCAAAATTTAGAGTGCTGATAAAAGCAATTTTGGGCCAACAGGGATCTAGGAAAAGATAGCTTACCGGAGTCAACTACACAGAAATAGGGTAAGAATTGGTATAGCCATAGTGTGGGCCAATTTGGCAGTTTCTATTAATACTCAACATGCGCATGTGCATTCTAAACCAATTTTGTGTTTTATTTACCCTAGAAAAACACACATGCACAAGAAAACCTAATAGCAAATGTTTATTGCCGCCTTCACCTACATGTGAATGGAATGAACGTGTCTATGTGCCTGGCAAAACTGGCACATTCATTCCATGGAATCATGCATAGAAGATTATTAGAATTAGATAGACTTATACCAATTGGCATGAAAACTGGGTCTTACGAAAGTATGAAAAGGGAAAATTTTAATATAACACATACAATGTAAAAACCATTAATAAAATAAATAAATAAAACAGTTCACACTGTGTATGTGCATGTGGGGGTGGGGGTATAGATATATGAAGCTAAATGCATAGAAAAGTTTCTGGTGGGATATACCCCCAACTCATTGTGTTGGTCCTCTCCATGACGATTGGAAAGGGATGGGGCCTGGGGGTGGTCCTCAAAAGGGATTTATAGCTTTATTTTTTTCACCAAGGGTGTTTCTGTATTACTCATCTGATTCAAAATTGATGGTTTTGAAAAAAAGGAAGCAGGCAATTAGGCATTTTGCTGTGGCAGAAAAACACCCATTAGGCGTACATTGTAAACCTCATGGGCCTTTGTGTTCTTGGAGGAAAGCCACAGTAAGCCTAACCTCATTGTCATCGTAAAATAAAGGGGATAATGACTCCCCTCAGAAAGCGTTTCTAAGGTTCTCATGAGACGAAATATCAATGCCACATGGAATTAATGAAGTAACCAAACACAGGAGAATTTAGAAATAGGACCCAAAAACCCTGGTGTTTTTTTTTCCAGTTACAAAAGTATCCTGGAGCAGAGGAATTGTTGGTGTCAAATCAATTCCGTTTTTCAGGAGCTACCCAGGATGGTGTGGGGACAACCTGGGTTCTGGTGCCAGTGGTGTCTCCTCCAGCTGGTGACCTCAAGAAGGCCCTTCCCCCACCCGGGTCTCAGTTTCACCATCTGCAGCCTGGAGTTTCTGATTCCCCATCTTTGAAGGGCATGTGCAGCTTTGATGGATTCTCGGTGATTCTGAACAGTCATTCTCTTCTAATTTGGTCATTTTAGAAAAGACCCAAATGAAAAAAAGAGAAAGTTTACCAGCTACTGTCTCCTTTAAACAGGGTTAAAGAAACCCACCCTAGCTCAACCAACAGCTCAGCTGGCTATGTGGACTTAGACCCCAGCAACTTTCAGCATAACAAAATCAAGTTCCCAGAACACCTCAAGTTCCCAGAACAAGATAAAGACCATTGAAAACATTGATTAAAAAAAAAAAAAAAAAGGCAGACAGGGGCTGCTTTTATTCCATTAACTGCCACAGTGTATCTGGGGAGATAAGCAGCTCAGTGACCTGTTCTCTGATGTGGGATGGGAGTGGGGAGGGGGAGGGGGGCGAGAGGCAGCGGAACTCCAGGGAGGACAGGAACTCATAGCAGAAATCCCTGAATCAGCCCTGACCGGTTTGGCTCAGTGGATAAAGCATTGGCCTGTGGACTGAAAGGTCCCAGGTTCGATTCCGGTCAAGGGCTTGTACCTTGGTTGCGGGCACATCCCCAGTAAGAGGTGTGCAGGAGGCAGCTGATCGGTGTTTCTCTCTCATTGATGTTTCTAACTCTCTATCCCTCTCCCTTCCTCTCTGTAAAAAAATCAATAAAATATATTAAAAAAAAAAAAAAGAAATTCCTGAATCAGTCCTGAGCGCTCAGGAAAAGCCCACCTTTGGAGGAGACCTGAGGACCCATGGGCTTGCAGAAGAGAGGCAGAGAGAACTGCATGGCACAGGCTGGACAGGTAAAGGAAACACCTTTGCTGTCCTTGAAAGATTCATTCGCAAACAACTACCAAACTTTTAAAACTGCAAGAGACATTAGATACTGCCTAGTTCTAGAATCACAGATGGTGAACACTGGTCTGATCCAGGTCCCTCATTTCACACAGGGGAGAGCCAGGGCTTGTTAAATGTGTTCCCAGTGCCAACTGTCAGCGAGCGGACAGGACTCGGGCTCAGCACGAGCATCTGCCCTCTGCCACCAGGATGCACAGGTCTCAGCCCAGGGCGGACCTCTGTATCGTCCAAAACCTGGGAACAATGTGCAAGAAGAAACCGCTCCTTGAAACCTCCTCCCCGGCAAAGTAATCCAAAAGGCAAACTAAAACTGACAATAAAGAGAAAAAGAAGAATTACAAGAAGAGCCCTTTCCAGAGCAAATTGCCCTCCATCTGACGGCACTGATAACATCTGCAGAGGACATTTCTTTTCCCCATTTCATCTGACCCCTTATTTCGGTGTTTCTTCTTAAATTGCCATTTCTGATATGAACACAAATGACCCCACCCTGAAACCCCCAAAGCAGTCTCAGGATACAACTTTGTATGACAGCAAGAGGAGAGACCACCCAAACAAGAAACCCTGGGTGGGGGAGGGAATGAGGTAGGCTTCGGCTCCCTGAAGCCCACCAGCCAAGGAGCCCCATTTCAGGGTGCGGAGCCCCCCTCCTGCATGGCAGGTCAGACACTTACTCAGATAAAGCCACCACAGCTCCCTCAGCAGCCAGAGGATGACAGGCCCTCTGGACATTTTGACTGTCGGGCCGACCCCAGGAGCCTGTCTGTCTGTCAGCCCAAACTTCATTTCTTATACTCCAGTTAATGCTGACAGGGCGGAACCTTTTTGTTTTCATTTCTCTTTTTTGGGCTCAAAACCTTCCCTTTCCATCATCCTGAATGGCCTTCCTGGATCTGGGATGCCTGAAGACATGCACTGAATACTTTTCTCCTGGACACTGGGGGGTGGGGGGGGTGGTGTGCAAAAAAAGGGCGTGGGCAAACGTGTAGTACATATTCTTTTATCTTAGAAATGCAACTATCAATAACAATGTTTGTATCTAGAAGGGTCACACACTGGAGAAAGACACTAGGCTCGGTTTTCTTCTCTTCCTAAGGTAGGGTCCGTGGACAGGCTGCATGGACTTCACAAACATCCTCAATTTGCATGACTGCATTAAATCATAGCGTTCTTGAGAGAGGGATCACGACAGTTCTAGGTATTTCATGTCTTTGCCACCTTCTTCTTTTGCATAGGGGAGGTTTGCCATTGTACAGCCAGGCCTCCCTCGCTCTCAGTCAGTACATCTCAAGTTATGTCATTTCATTCATGGCCATGGTATTTGGCTCAAAGATGGACAAGTGACCCAAAGCCAAGGGTACATAATCTTGGCTTGTTATTAGGACTTTTGAGAGACAGGGACCCTCCCTATTTTCCAATGATCTTTGAGCTGTGAAGAAATGAGGGTGAATCCAATGTTAGCCATCCCACCACCAGTAGGTGAAGCCGGAAGACAAGTGGAGAAATAGAGAAGCCTGGGGGTCTTTGACCTGGTTTGAGCCCCTGAAACAAGGCACACCAATGTACCAATAAATTCTCTATGGGGCTTAAGCCAATTTGTGTTGGGTTTTCTGTCATTTGGAATTAAAATACCCCAATTTCTTAAACCTAGAAGGACTTCTACATAGCAGCAATTTAGCTGATGACTAAAATTTTCCCCTTTCTAAGAGTTTACAACTATTGACTGCTCCAACTACCTGTTTCATTAAACACCAGCTTCACCCTGAGCTTTCAATTATTTGTCTACCTATTATGCTCTATGGCAATGATTTTCAACGGGTGTGCCTCGGCACACAGTATGTCACAAGAATTTTTTAAAATGCAATACCTGACTGTTTAGTCAGGGGCATGGACCCCTTTTCCCTTAGATTGCCAAATGGAAAAATGACAACAGCCAACACAACAACAGCCATCTGGTGTGAGTGAATCAAAATTATATCTATTTTTTGTCAGATCAGCAATAAATATATTTTTTGGTGTGCCTCAGAATTTTAGTAATTAGTTAATGTGTGCCATGAGATGGAAATGATTAAAAATCTCTGCTCTAGGCCTATGGGATTTCTGCTAGACTCTAGAAATAAAGACAAATAGGCATCCTAACCTTAAGAACCTGACAGTTTTAAATCTTTAAGCAGAGGAGGTATTATCAGGCTCCATTTTAAAGATAAGGCCATAGAAGGCCAGAGATAAAAGATATTACATAATAGGAAGAAAATTGAATTCAGGTTTTCTGATAAAGAGTTCTTTGCAGTAACCAGTACTTCCTTTCTGGTAAATGGGGTTAAATGTAATCCTGCTTATTCATTTTTATTTGTTCGTTTCTTCATCAATTATAGCACAACTATGGCCCATGGATCAAATCTATCTTTGTAAATACAGTTTTATTGCAACACAGCCATGGTAGGTATTTACATATTGTCTATGGCTGCTTTCACACTACAATGGCAGAGTTGTGTAAATGCAAAAGATACTGTATGGTTTTAATAGAAAAAGTTCGCTAACCCCTGAACTATATATTGAGTTCACGCTATGTGACACCGCTCTAAGCACTGAGACTGCAATATAAGATCAGCCATTCTTGTCCTAAAATAAGCTCCCAGGCTAGTGCCTCCTGGTGGGAGAAAAGTGAGTTAACAGACAATACAGCACTTGATTAGATGTGACAGGGAAAGGACACTATGGGAGTGCTGGGGAAAGATCCCTTCCTAGTCTTGAAGATAGAAGAACAGTCAGGGACACTTTTTAAATATAGACCTAAAGGACATTGGAGAAGGTGGGGATGGGCTGGGAAGAATTTCAGACAGAGCACATAGAAGTTCTGATAACAGTGATAACAGTGAGGCATTGTAAACTGAAGGAAGAATTTCACCTTTATAGGTGTTTGTTATAGTATTTAAAAGTAAATTTAAAATTTAAAGTGTTTTCTTGCCCAAAAAAGGTAAACGAAAACGTAAATAAAATAAAACAGGGCTATGTGTCAAATAAAATAAAACAGGGCTATGTGTAGATCAACAAGGAGACCTTGCAGAGATCCAAGAATTATGACTGCACGAATTTCACTGTGGCTGGACCTCAAATCAGGAGGGAAGAAGTGGAAATGCCAAGTGAGGGGACAGGAACACAGGCTGGGGTCAGATCATGAAGGTCCTGATAAGGCATATGAGCACTGTCCAAGGGCAAATAGGAACCCAACTTTTGTGGATTATTATTGAGCCTAAGAGTAAATCTATAAAAGAAAAAAATTCACATCTGGGACTGTTTTCATTCAAATGGTGTCCAGAACTAACTAAATCTAAAACCTCTAAATCTCCTCCAGTTGGGCAAGCTTTGACTGTGTATTCTTTTGAGGTCAGAAAATGGCTTTAATCAAGGAAGGGAACTATTTTATGAGTTTTTATGTTTTTGTTGTGGGGGTAGAAGGGCAGTCTCTCCAGCTTTTGTTAGCCATGGGCATCTATTCAGCAAGCTCCCTCTCATTCTATGATCCATGCATAAGCCTCCTCATTTTTTTTTTTAATTTCCTACTAGAGGCCCTATGCACAAAATTCGTGCAAAGGGCTCGGACCTCGAAGCCCTGGCTTAATCCGGAAGGTTGTCCTAAAGGTCATTCAGCTGTCTAGTCTAATTAGCATATTATGCTTTTATTATTATAGATGGGATGGAAAATGAGATGCCTGGGTTCCATCTTGACCACATACCAGCTGTGTGGCTATGAGCAATTTACTTCCCCTATCTGTGTTCAATTACCCCTCTATAAAATTAAGATGATAGTAACTATATCTTGAATTGCTGTGAGTACTAAATGAGGGGGCCCATAGAAAGCATTTAGCCGAGTACCAGACAAATAGTAATACCCAACGAATGTTAGTTATTATTCAAGTAGTTGTTATTTAGGTAGTGTTAGATAGAGTAGCAGAAAAGACAGAATGACCTGTTTTAGTTGATATATTTCATGTCTGTCAACATTCCATCCTTTCTGGAACCAACCCTTCCTCAATCTATGTGGATTCAGTCGGCATTTGAGTAAGGTGGGCATATGCTTTAAGTATAATCGTTCATTTAAATCTATTCTCTTGCTTGGCTGGTGTGGCTCAGTGGTTGAATGTCAACCTATGAACCAGGAGGTCACAGTTCAATTCCCGGTCAGACCACATGCCCGGGTTGCGGGCTCCATCCCCAGTGTGGGGTGTGCAGGAGGCAGCCAATCAATTCTTCTCTCTCATCATTGGTGTTTCTCTCTCTCTCCCTCTCTCTCTCTCTCTCTCTCTCTTCCTCTCCTCTCCTCTCCCCTCCCTCTCTCCCTCTTCCTTCCTCTTTGAAATCAATAAAAATATATTAAAAAATAAATCTATTCTCTTGTGGGAATTTATAAAAGGCAAAGAAATAGACTGATTTACTTGGAAAAGCTGGTTCAATCAGACATGAAGAGTCATGAAACTTGAAAAAGAAAGGTGAGTAAAGGATGACTAATTTATCCATCCATCCAAAGCTTTATATATGTGGCCAAGCTTCTGCTTTCATGCTTTCTTCCAAGTAATCCATTCCACCTCCATACAGCCCTAGTTGTTAGGAAAATGGAAAGGAATTAACATACACTACACTGTGGCTATTTGCTAAGCACTATGGTAAGTGATTTTTACATATAATCCCAATAACAAACCTGTAAAGGAAATATTACCTTTGCCTATACGTACAAGGAAAGAGGGCTTGGAAGATGTTAAACAAAACTTAACTCAAAATCTAACTTTAATTTGTTTATGAGTCTGTCACTAAAATAGTCAGTTGAATCACTTAGGAATCCATTCAACTGTGAGTAACAGAAAATCCAATTCACAGAAGCCTAAACATATAAGGGGTTTGTTTTTTCTCTCATAACAAGAAGTCTCGGTATAGGCAACCCAGTGATTCCAAAATATCACTAAGGACCCAGACTCTTCTCTTGCTGTTCCTTCATGTTGATTTGTCACAACATGGTCACAGGAGGGCTAAAGTGCTTCTGGACATCAAATTCATCTTTGGGCAGAGGAACGGAAAGTCATGGGGGCTTTTACATCATTATTCCTTGACTTTTATTTGGGAAAGAAAGGCCTTCTAAGCCAGTGGTTCTCAACCTTCTGGCCCTTTAAATACAGTTCCTCATGTTGTGACCCAACCATAAAATTATTTTCGTTGCTACTTCATAACTGTAATGTTGCTACTGTTATGAATCATAATGTAAATACCTGATATGCAGGATGGTCTTAGGCGACCCCTGTGAAAGGGTCGTTTGGCCGCCAAAGGGGTCGCGACCCACAGGTTGAGAACTGCTGTTAAGCCGCCTTAACCTTATAACTTATTATCCAGAATGAGTTCACTAACCAACTCTCAGATCCATCCTATGAGATGTCTATGACTTGGTTTAGACAAATCAGAACCATTCCTTGAGCGTAGGGTAAGAGGCCTAGTGTTTCTGAGAGCAAGGGATGAAATATGATGGTTCCCTGGAAAAATGTTAGAGTTCTATTAGGAGATGGAAAGGCTGTTGGTGGAACAATGGACAGCATCTTCTTTATCAGGGCATTCCTCCAGAACTGTGCTTACACCTCCTGTGGCTGGCCCAATGCCAAACTTCCAATAGATAACAAGTTCTTGTGGAATGAATGAATGAATGAATGAATGAATATCTTGACTCCTTAAAGGGAGAAACTGATACAAAGTAGAAAGAAGACT